TGCTCCTCCTCTTCTTCGTTCTCCTTCTCCCCCCTGCTCCTCCTCCTCCTTCCTGCTCCCGCTGCCCGCGGTTTTTCCTTGATCCCGCGCCGAGCATTGCTAGACGCATGCTTTTGCACACTCGCCTAGTGGCGTATGGTTGTTTAGTTCGGTCGTCGGCTCCCAGCTGTTTTCCAACCATGGGATGCTCTCCCGCAGCTGCGCCTCGTTGGGAGCGTTCCCGGCGCCCAGATCGCCCCGAGCGGCCAAAGGAGGGCCGATGTATGACCCGAAAGCCACGCGTCGTGAGAAAAGCACGACGGGAGGTTGTCGTTGCCGCTTTCGGTCTCGAGGGGCCCTCGCCGGGACCCCAGGACTTTTGGGAAGCGGATCGGGACGAGAAGCCGGCCCGTGGGAGCGGGTCGGAGCTTCCGGGGACCCCGCACGAACAAAAACAAAACAAAAAACCAAAAAAACGACACCAGACGTCCGGGGAGGTTGCTCCAGATCCGCGGCCGCGCTGTCGCGGCATCGCCTCGCAGCAGTCTGGGCTGGCAGCGGGCGCTGCCAAGGGAGGGTGAGCCTCTGTTCAAGCAGTGGCGAAGCGTCCCGGCTCGCCTATAGGCCCACCAAAGAATGTTCTAAGAATCCTTTATGGTTTGCACGAAATGTTCTTAGAACATTTCTGGCTGATACCGTCTTGATTTAACGCACCAGGGTCATGTTCTAAGAGCATTGCTTCTTCTTAGCACATCTTGCGGTTCTGCGAATCTGTCGTGGTAGGCAACAGGAATGCCGGGACGGTCGGTCCCTGCTCAGTCTGTCGGGTCGGGCGAGAGAGGAGAGGGGGCATTGCGAGACCTGCGGCGTGCAGCTGGTTGCCGCCCCGCCGCACGGCGCCTCGCCTCCACGCAGCACGGCGCCTCCCCGCGCGGGGAGGCGCCGGAGAAGCCAGGTGCGTGAGCCCCTTCGCCCCCCCCCCCCCCCCCCTCTTACCAGCAATTACCCCCCCCCCGTTCGACCGATCCGCCTCTCCGCGGATCCCCACGGCCCATGGCCCACCAGCAAGATACAGATACGGTGGGTTCGCGTCGTGTCGACCAGCGGCGACCCCGCCGCCGGCGTTCAACGTGGAGCGCCGCCGGAGACCCAGAGTCGGTCGATGTTGAACGGTCTGACGTTTCGGAAACGGCCGATCGTTCAGGGTTGAGCGATCCAGCGGGGTGTCAGAAACCAACGCCAGGGTCGGCACGACGCGTACCTACCGTACATCTGTTCACCCGCAGCAGTTCACTACAGCCAAGCAAGGTTAAGACATCCTCTGGTCCATCCGCATCAGACGAAGATATGTATGCCTGGAGCGGCAACGAAGCAAAAACCTCCTGTGTTGTGATCGCTTGCGCCCGTCTGGAAGCGCATCTAGGCAACGCTCCGCGAGGCCACCGGCACCGCGCTCCCGCACAGCCTCATGCAGGTCGGCCTGCAGACGCCGCTGCGAGTCCAGCTCCTGCAAGAGGACTGTTTTTTGCCCAGCCTGTGGCGAGGTGATGGACGTCTTCTGCGACCACGCCCTGGCCTGCGCCTGCCGCGGCGACCACACCAAGCGCCACAACGCCTTGCGCAACCAGGCCTCCTTCGACGCCCCGGCCATTGACCACGCCGGGGCCGAGTCGGAGCGCCCGGGGCTGCTTCCCCCGCGCCCTGCTGGGGAGACCCCCCCGGGGCGAGAGGGCGGGCCCCAGGTTGACGACAACGGCCGCCGCCCTGCCGACGTCTACCTGCCACGGTGGCGCAATGGCACGGCGGCCGTTCGGGACTTCGCCGCCACGTCCGGGCTGCGCGCCGCTCCCCTCGCCGCGTCGGCCGCTTCGTCCAGCGCGGCGACGGAGCGGCACGAGGAGTTCAAAAGGCAACACCAGGACACCGCGCGGCAGCGCACAGCGCAGGGTTCCACGTTCCTCCCCATGGCGGTGGAAGCCCGCGGCGGCGGATGGGGCCGCGAAGCACGCAAAGCCTTCGGGGCCCTGACTAAGCGGGTGACTGACGCCACGGGGGAAGACGCCGCAGTTGTTTCGGACCAACACGCCCAGCATTTTTCCGTCTCCCTGCCAAGGGAGAACGCGCGGGCGGTGCCGCGGCGCCTCCAGACGCAGTCTGGAGGGGCGGGGGCGGCAGCGGCCCGCTTGGCCGCGGCAGAGAATGCCTCCACGGCGGACGCCGTGCAAGGTCCCCCTGGCGCTGCCTGGCGCCCCCCGCCACCCCCCACCGCCCTTGCTGGGCAGCACGGACGCCCCCCGCGCGCCCTTTCGCCAACGTCGCGCTTGCGACCCCTCCGCGCCGCCCGGCATTTCCTCGGCGGGGAGATGGGTCATCCCGCAGACGGCTCTCCCCACCAGGTCGTCGCCGTAGGGCCCATAGCTTCGTCGCGGGTGGTTTTTCCTTCCCGGCCTCTGGCCCCGCCTGTCCGCTTGCGGTTGCTCCCTCTCCTGTCGGCATCGTCGTCCTCCCCCCTCTCTGCCCTTCCCTTCTGTCCCATGCCTTGTCCGCTTGCGGCTGGTTCCTCTCTACCCCTCTTCCTTGCACCCTTCCCTTTCCTCCTACCCTCTGCCTACTGTCTTCATCAGTGCGCCCCACCAACCCTGGCCTTCCCCCCGCGCGTTCGTCGTCCTTTGCCTGCTCCGCCCCCATTCGCTGGACAACGAAGCCTGCCGGGGAGCAGCGTGAAGCTTCTTAGGCGGCAACGGTACTTCAGTGCATGCGCTGACTTGCGTTAGCCAATTGTTGGGCACGGACGACGATGTTCAATTCAGCCCTAGCCGGTCCCTGCCATGGTCGCCGCAACGCGTTGGGCCCGAGGCGAGCGGCAGCTCGCCGTGGCCCCAAACAGGAGAGTTGCCCTGGATGCTGGTGCGACGATGACGGCGACGGCGACGGCGACGGCGACCGCGACGACGACGGCGGCGGCGGCTGTGGCGACGGCGGCAGTGGCCACGGCCATGGCCACGGCGACGACGAGGACGAGAAGGACGAGGGCGAGGGTTTACGACGACGTCGACGAGGACGACCCCCCCGAGAAGCTCACAGAGGCCCCGAGACCCCAGAGGCACAAAAAGAGCCGAAACCATCAAAACCTCGACCCCAAACCAACACAAGCCCTTCCTTACATCCCACTCGTTGATAGTAATTGATGTCATTGCGTTCGTTTACAACAATGCGAAGTAAACAGGAGGATACATTGCACGAGTGGCAGGCACAAACCCAGCTCAGCAGGGGCAGCCTCATTTTCTTCGTGTTGGAGCTCTCCATTTTGGAGTGCTCTTCGTTCGGGGTCTCCCCATGGGGCTTTTGCAGATTCCGCGAAGGGGCTCGAGGAATTGCCCCGCGATGTTAGGGCCACGCTTTGCTTACAGAGCGCGATCCGACGAAACGCACGAGGGAAGCACGAGGGACCTGGACCACCAGTGGGGCTGCCCAGCGCGCCCGAGCCCCGAGGCGACGTCGCCCTCGCCGCCCAGCAGTTGTGGCGCCCGCCTGCCCCGGCCGGCCGGCCGGCCGGCCCCCCGCACCTCCGCTCGGCTGCGGGGGGGGGGGGGGGCGACCCTGTGCCGAAGTGGTGTCGGCCCACGGGAATCAGCTGGGAGCTGGCACTGGCGCAGGGAACGGGACAGCCCACGTCTCTCGCAGGGTGGGCTCCTGAGCCGGCGGATGCACGTGCGCGCAAGTTTTTGTTAGACATTTGTTCGGCATATTTTTCTCATCTGGGACCGTGCGAACCCCCACCCTCTTGACGGAGCCCCTCCGATCCCTTGGCCCTCGGGGCACCCTGGAGGCCCTTGCAGACGGTCCCCTGTGCTTTCTGGGGTTCCTGAGGCCCCTGTAGGGCCCAGGCGAAGGACCCACATCGGTCAGGAAGGCGGCTGGACGGCCCCACGAGAGCCCACAGAGGCCCTAGACACCCACCGGGACGCCCGAAGATGACCCAAAGAAGAACCCCCGGAGGCATTCGAAACGCAAAAAGAACATTCATTTCCCATGGTTTTTGCATGATGCTGGAAACACTACGTTTCATCGGTCTTCTGGGCGTCCGAGACCGCCCAGGAGGCCAGAGAATCGCCCCAAGTTTAACCAAGAGGGCTTCCAGGCAGTCCAAGAGGAGGAGCCCCAAGACGGCCCAAGACGGCCCAAATCATTTCAAATCGTGACCCGGTTGTTCAAGGCGACCGCGGTTGGAAGCAAGGTGGCCCAGGGAGGCCCCCAGGAGGAACCCAGGAGGTTCCCAGAAGGCCCCAACAAGACTTTAAAAACATTCGTGAATCTTCCAAGTTGCTCTCCTACGATGGGCCTCAAAAAAACGGATGGGGACGAATTCGCAGTGTGAGGAGGAAGAGTGAACATGAGGGAAGGATCAAAAATGATATCATTACAATGCCAGACACGGCAACAACGAGTTTTCGCTAAATGTTCCGTTTTACTTGATTGCCCTCGTGCCTGCATGCCAAACCTCAAGGACCAAAGTACATGGCGCGAAGCGCCAATGCAGTCTTGTACGTGTGTATATATATATATATATATATATATATATACGATCCTCTTCCTATACTCGTGCAAGCCGCCGGAGTGGCGGGAAAACCGCCCCCCCCCCCAAAAAAAAAAATACCTCCGGGATCCCGGGCTTTGAGGCCCCTTGAACGCCCTTCGAAGAGGTCCCCGAACCTTGCCGCGCCTCCCAGGGCGCCTTGCCGGGCCTTGCCCAGCAGACCCAAATCAGAGAAGTGGTCGAAGAGGCGCAGGAGAGCCCCGAGACAGGGCAAGACGGCCTCAAGACTGCCCACGATGCTCCCAAGACGGCACAAGAGGGTCCATAGGACGCTTCAAGAGGCTCTCAGGAGGGCCCCCAAGAGGCACAAATCTTCCCATCCATTGAGGAAACGTGCATTTTCAGCATATTCGCTTCTTGTGTGCCGTAGCAGCTTTTGCGACGGCCCAAGAGGTCTCCGAGATCGCCCTAAGACGGTCCAAGAGGCCCCCAAGAGGGCTTCAAGACAGCCCAAGACTGCCCCAAGACGACCCGTAGCCATTTTGGATCAAGCCTCTTTGGCACAAGTCTTTTCTAATCTTTCCGCATCCTATCTGTCTCTGCTGATCTCCTTGCCATGGCGTACTACCGCTCGGGAGGCGCCTGGGGCGGCTCGGGAATGGGCTACGGCGCTGGCTACGGCGCTGGGTATGGGGCCGGCTATGGCGCAGGCTACGGCGGCGGTGCCGACTGTGGAACGGCCTGCTGCGCTGGGACGACCGCCGCCATGGGCTGCGGTCCCGCCTGCGGCGCGGGGTGTGCCGAGGCGACGGGCTGCGGCAGCGGCGTGGGGGGCGGCGTGGGCGGCGGCAGCGGCTGCGGCACGGGAGGTGGCACGATCCTGAGCTACGTGGGCCCTGGAGGCGACTACGCGCAGGAGACAACGTACAGGTACGTGGGGGCGGGCGCGGGCGAGTTCGGGGTGCTTCGCATTCCCGGCCGCGGCCCCAACTGCTGCCTGTTCCTCCTCATCCCGGGGCTGCTGTCCCTGCTGCTGCTCCCGCTGCTCTTGTTCTCGCTCGCCCCAGGGAGCACCACGACGACAACGACGACGACGACTACCACGCCGTTCATTCCGACAACCACACCGCCTCCCGAGACCACGCCAGCCACGACCAAGAAGACGACGACACAGGCGCCTCCCCCGCCACCTCCGCCGCCCCCGCCACCCCCGCCGCCGCCTCCGCCCCCGCCCCCTCCGCCGCCGCCCACGACCACCGAGAAAAAAATCAACTGCGGCGAAGGTGCTCCAGAGTCGTGGGACCAGGCGAAGAAGGTGCAGTGCTGCCTCATGGAGAACAAGGGGTGCCCGACCACATCCACATCTCCCTGCCCCATCGATTGCAACGCAGGATACAACGACCTCGACCCGCTGCAGTGGGTGCGCGGCTGGTCTGGCGAGAAGAAGCTGTACTGCTGCAAGACGGCCCAAAGGGGGTGCCCCTCGGAGTTGCCGCCCCCCTCCGGCTTGCCGCCTTCGGGCCTGCCTCCTGCCCCGGACAACAACGTCTACGATTGCGATGCAGGCTACCACCATTGCATGCACTGCCTGGCGCTGTCGTGGTCCCCCGAGAAGATCAAGTACTGTTGCACCAACTTCCACAAGGGGTGCAAGGGCGAGGAGCCAGAGTAGAGAGAGGTTCAAGAGCGGGCCTCGCCGGGGCGGCCAGGCGATATAGCAAGGAGCAGGCACATCATGGGGAGCAGTGTAAATAATGTGCAGGTTTACAGCCATCAATTGGTTTCCTGCCGGCTCCGCCCCACTCTTTCGGGCGCCGCGGGCGGTACCTTTGTGTGACAGCGCGGCAAGGCAAAGTTACCTGCATACGCTGCGCAGCCTGGGTATCACCGCACGCGGCCCTGCATCTGCGCGCAAGAGAGAACAGCGTGTGCGTCTTTCGTGTGATGCCCGCCGAAGAGAAAAATTAGCCTGACGAAGGACCCAACCATATGCAGTTGCGAGTTCCGCATTGTGGGTGCCGGTTTCGGTGGAGCTCCCATGGCCCAACAGGGAGGGGCCTCCCGCCTGAGACTTCCTCGCAACTCACTCACAGACGAGGCCCCCGCTCGAGACATCCTCACGATTTGCCCCATTTGGGTGCTCAATTGTTATGCTTGCCAGACGAGTCTGATGACCCGCTCGAAATACCAAAATGCGCAATTCACTGACAGACGAGGCTCCCACTCGAGACGTCCTCACGATTTGCCCCCTGGGGGTGCTGAAGTGCTCTGCCTGTTGGAGTATTCCGATGACCCGCTCAAATTACAAACATCAAGTGCGGGCCGCATACGGAAGGGGGGCTCCCGCTCGAGATCTCCCTCAAGGTGGGCATGTGAGTGTGCGAGTGTGCATGGTGATGATGAGTAATGTTGATGATGATGATGATGTTGATGCTGATGATGATGATGTTTATGATGATGGTGATGGTGATGGTGATGGTGATGGTGATGGTGATGGTGATGGTGATGGTGATGGTGATTGTTGGTGGTGGTGGTGCTGGCGCTGGTGCTGATGATGATGGTGATGTTGATGTTGATGTTGATGTTGATGATGATGATGATGATGATGATGATGATGATGATGATGTTGATATTGATGTTAATGCTGCTGGTGATGATGACGACGACGATGATGAGTGAGCGTGTGAGTGTGATTGAGTGCATGTTGATGACGATGATGACAGCAATAAGTATGAGTGTGATAGTGATCGGGGAGTGTTCTTGCGCAGGCTGTCCAGATAATGCAAGAACCCCACTTAGGATGTGGGGAAGCAGATGTTCGGAAGTTCGCGTGGACCCCGAGCATTTATTGTGGTGCTGATGTTTGTTCCCCACCCTGAGCTAATGGCCTTCGGCCCATCCCGCCACCTGGGTTGTGGGTATAAAGCCTGTTGGATGTTCGGTGGGATCTCGTTGGGATCTCGTTGGGCGCCTCTCGGGGGCCTCTTGGAGACAGTTGTGAGGCCTCTTGGGGGCAGTTTGGGGACCTCTTTGGAGCCTCTCGGAGGCCTGTTGGGTCATCTTCGGGGCCTCTTGGGAGCCTCTTGGGGCCTCTTCGGCGCCTCTGGGGGCCTCTTGGGGCCCTTTTGGGGCGGACGGCTCGAATTTCTCCCCGTCGTAGGCCTCTCTTGGGGCCGCCTTGAGGCCCTCTTGGGCCCTCCTGGGCGCCTGCCTCTTGTGCCTTCTTGGGGCCCTCCTAGGCTGTCTTGGGACCCTCTTGGGGACCTCTTGGGCGGTATTGAGGGCCTCGTGGGCCGTCTAAAACCGCTCGAGAGCCGAAAAGGCGAGAAGGTCAAACTCTTGATGTGTATGTATTTATATATATATATATGTATACACACATGTATCTGTATATATATATATATATACATATACATTGCCCCGGCAACCGGGGTTCCCAGTTCGAGCCGGCGCCGAAGACGCTATTTGAAGACGCTATTCCCTGTGATTGTGAAGACGGTGAAGACGCTATTCCTGGTGAAGACGTTATTCCGGGTGAAGACGCTATTTCCGGTGAAGACGCTATTCCCGGTGAAGACGCTATTCCCTGTGAAGTCGCTACTCCTTGTTGGTGCTAGGCGTGCCCCACCTGCTGTGCGGCACCTTCTGTTAGACAAGACCCCTCCCCAAGTTGATTTAGAAAGAATCCTTGGTGCTAGACGTGCCCCATCTGCTTTGTGGCACCCTTTGTTTGGCAATGGCCGTTCCCAGGTTGACTAAAAAAGAATCCTTGGTGCTAGGCGTGCTCCACCTGCTGTGCGGCACCTTCTGCTAGGCAAGACCCCTCCCCAAGTTGATTAAATAAAAATCCTTGGTGCTAGACGTGCCCCATCTGCTGAACGGCACCTTCTGCTAGACAAGACCCCTCCCCAAGTTGATTACAAAAGAATAGTTGGTGCTAGACGTGCCCCACCTGCTGTGCGGCACCTTCTGCTGGGCAAGACCCCTCCCCAATTTGTTTGAAACAAAAATCCTTGGTGCTAGACGTGCCCCATCTGCTGAACGGCACCTTCTGCTAGACAAGACCCCTCCCCAAGTTGATTAAAAAGAATACTTGGTGCTAGACGTGCCCCATCTGCTGCGTGGCACCCGTTGTTAGGCAATGGCCCTCCCCAAGTTGATTAAAAAAGGATCCTTGGTGCTAAGCGTGCCCCATCTGTTGTGCGGCACCTTCTGCTAGGCAAGACCCTTCCCCAAGTTGATTTTAAGAAAGAATCCTTGGCCTTGGTACTAGGCGTGCCCCTTTGCTGTGCGGCACCCTCTCCAAGGTGAGCCCCTTTGCTGTGCGGCACCTTCTGCTGGGCAAGACCCCTCCCCAAGTTAATTAAAACAGAATCCCTGGTGCTAGACATGTCCTTTTGCTGTGCGGCACCTTTGCTAGGCAAGACCCCTCGCCAAGTTGAAAGAATATTTGGTGCTGGACATGCCCCTTTGCTGTGCGGCACCCTCTGATAGGCAGGAGCCCTCCCAAGTTGATTAAACGAGAATCCTTGGTGCTAGGCGAACCCATCTGTTGTGCGGCACCTTCTGCTAGGCAAGACCCCTCCCCAAGTTGATTTAGAAAGAATCCTTGGTGCTAGGCGTGCCCCTTTGCTGTGCGGCATCCTCTCCAAGGTGAGCCCCTCTGCTGCGCGGCACCTTCTGCTAGGCAAGACCCTTCCCCAAGTTAATTAAAACAGAATCCCCGGTGCTAGACATGCCTTTTGCTGTGCGGCACCCTATGCTAGGCAAGACCCCTCGCCAATTTGATTGAAAAAGAATCCTTGGTGCTAGACATGCTCCTTTGCTGTGCGGCACCCTCTGATAGGCAAGAGCCATCCCCAAGTTGATTTAAAAAATAATTATTGGTGCTTGGCGTGCCCCACCTGCTGTGCGGCACATTCTGCTAGACAAGACCCCTCCCCAAGTTGATTTAAAAAGAATCTTAAGAGGCCCCAAAACGGCCCCTCAGGAGGCTTCAAAACAGTTTCCAAAAGCCCGACAAGAAACCTCCCAAGAGACCCCCAAACGAACATCCAGGAGGCCTTGGACCCGCAACCCAGCCCCATCGGGCGGCGGCGGCGGGCGGCGGCGGGGGCGGCCGACGAGAAACAGGTTTCTCGTCGGGCTCTTGGATGCTGGTTTGAAGCCTCCTGGGGGGCCGTTTTGGGGCCTCTTAGGGCCTCGTTTGGTTTTCTTGGGGGCCTCATGGGGCTTCCTGGGTGTTTCTCGAGGCATCCCAGGACCTTCTTGAGGCGGAATCCCCCAGGAGCCCGCAGGATGGATCCGTTGGAAGCGTGTCACCGGTGCTGCGCGGTCCGGGTGGCTTCACAATCTTTTGTGTTTAGCGTATGTGCCTATAGATTGGTCGTGTCCTGGGGTTTCCTGGGGCCTCCTGGGGCTTCCTGGGGCCTCCTGAAGCTTCCTGCGGCTTTCTGGGCCTTCCTGGAGTCTCCTGGAACCTCCTGGGGCCTCACGGGGCTCCCCGGGGCTTCCTGGGACCTCCTGGTGCTTTCTGGTGCTGTCTTGGCCCCTCTCGGTGCCTCCTGGAGCTGTCTTGGCCCTCTCCTGGGGCGCGAATCCTTTGTGTTAAACGTATGTGCCAATAGATTGGCCTACTCTTTGGGCACGAATGTTTAGTGTCTTACGTGCGTGCTTACATATATATATATATATATAAAATATATATATATATATATATATATATATATATATATACACTACACATATGAAAGAGCGTGTTCTACCGCTGCTGGCGGAAAACCGGGGGGGTCACTACCGGTTCGAACCCCTCCCCCCCCCCCCTTCCGGAAAACCGGGGGGGGTCACTACCGGTTCGAACCCCTCCCCCCCCCCCCAGTTCATCATGAAAAGGGGGGGGGGTCACTACCGGTTCGAACCCCCCCCCCCCCCCTCGAACTCGAAAACCGGGGGGGGTCACTACCGGTTCGAACCCCCCCCCCTCGAAAACCGAGGGGGGGTGCGGACAGTGGTGGGGACGGTGGTGGTGGGGACAGTGGTGAGGGGACAGCGGGACAGTGGTGGGGACAGTGGGACAGTGGTGGGGACGGTAGTGGTGGGGACAGTGGTGAGGACAATGGTGGGAACAGTGGGGACAGTGGACAGTGGTGGGGACGGTGGTGGTGGGGACAGTGGTGTGGGGACAGTGGGAATGTGGTGGAAACAGTGGGACAGTGGAGGGTACAGTGGTGGTGGGGACAGTGGTGAAGGCGGTGGCGAGGACGGCGGTGGGACAATGGGACAGAGGTACAGTGGGGACAGTGGTGGGGACAGTGGGGACAGTGGTGGGAACAGTGGAACAGTTCAGTGGGACAGCGGAGGAGTCAGTGGGACAGTGGGGACAGTGGGGATAGTCGGGCAGTGGTTGGGGGTGTGGAGAAAGTGGGGAGAGTGGAACCGTGGTGGGAACAGTGGCGGGGACAGTGGGAACAGTGCGACAGTGGTGGGGGCACTGGTGGGGACAATAGGGACGGTGGTGGAACCAGTGGGGACAGTGGTGGTGAGGACAGTGGTGCTGGGAACAACAGTGGGGGATGTGGTGCGGACGGTGGTAGGGACCAGGAGTCGTTTGCTGGCGGTGAGTGGGGGGGGGTGGAGAGGGGTTCGAACCGGTAGTGACCCCCCCTCCGGTTTTCGAGGGGGGGGGTCGAACCGGTAGTGACCCCCCCCGGTTTTCGAGGGGGAGGGGGGGGGGTGAGGGGTTAAGGGAGGGGAGGGGTTTTGCCGGGGGAGGGGAGGGGGGGGGGGCGGGGAGGGGGGTCCAGCAGGGGGGGGGGGGGCGGGGGATTTTCGGAGGGGGGGGGGGGGGGACCCCCGGGCTCCGGAGGAAAAGGGCGGCAATTTTCCACAGTAAAGCGGCGGTGGATCACGCTCTTTCATATGTGTATATATATATATAATATATATATTATATAATATATATAT